ACTTCCTAGTATAGAAGCATTTGGAGTTCTCACCAATAGTTCTTACTCTGCTTAAAATTTATGTGATTTCCTTAGATAATTGAAGATGATTACCTAGGGAACTGTAAATTGGATTTGCTTCTCTCATGTTGAATCTTTGAAGCACCTTTCAATATACTCTTCTTGAGGCAACTTCAATATATCTGCACTTCCATCCTTGTTGATTCTCATACCAAGAATTTTCTTTATTGGACCCAAATCTTTTAAATTCCTTTAATACATATTCCTTCAAATATTTTATCTTCTCCATATCTGAACCTACAAATAGTTTGTCAACCACATACAAAAGCAAAATAATATAATAATTATCAAAATATTTGAAAAAAATAGTGATTTATCGGCACCTTGTATACCAATTATCTAACATAAACTTATCAAATCTTATGTACCATTATTTTGGTGCCATCTTCAGCCTATATAAACTCCTCCTCAGCCTACACACCAGATCTTTATTAATTGTGACCACATATCCCTAAGGTTCCACTAAGTATAACTCTTCATCATGGTCACCATGAAGAAATATTGTCTTTATATCCATCCACTCTATTTGTAAATTCTCCACTGGTATCATGCTTAGTACAACTCTGATTATAGTCATCTTCACCATCAGGTTCTTCTTTCATCATGTAAACTCACTTATTTTATAGAGCTCTCTTGCCACTTGGTAGCTCTATCAACTCCCAAGTCTTATTCAACTAAAGTGAATGCATCTCATCATTCATTGATCAACTTGAAAGGCCTCATCATAGTACTATGGTTTTTCATTATTTGTTAGTAATAGATAGTATAATGAAGGATAATACATTTGTATTGGCTTTGAGATTTTAATGAGTCTCCTAATTTCATTAGCAGGTGTTTGAGGTGCTCTTTGTACTTCAACAGCTTTTCCTTCTTGATCATGATCATCCTTTATCTTGACAAATTTAGAAGAATATTTAGGAGTCCCATTTATATCCTTGTGCATTTTATTTTCATTGAATCTGACATCACTACTCCTAATGAATTTCATATTATGATAATCTTAAAATTTATAACCATTTCCATCTAAGCCATTTCCAATAAATATATACTTGATAGATTTTGGATCAAGCTTGCTCCCGAATGCTGCATCAATATGAATATAGGATGAACAACCAAAAACTTTATGGTGAGATAACTAGCCTCTTTTACACTCTAGGCTTTCTCAGGTAGCCCCTCATTCATAGGAATCGAATGACCATAATTAATCAGATAAACTATAGTATTCATTGCCTTTGTTTAAAACTGCTGGGTAGACTATAAAATAAGTGAGTTTACATCATTTTGTTGTACGGTGTTTTTGGAATAATGAACTCATGTCTGATCCCATTCAAAGCATAATACTCAGTGAATTTTTTTTCATGATACTCGCCACCATTATCTAATCTGAGATACTAGAGCTTTAAACTTATCTCAATCTAAACCATAGTGTCCATTTTACAAACCAATTTCACATATATTTTTTAAATATTATGATTTATTTTATGGATTTTTTTCTGTAATTTTTAAAGTCCTAAAGTAATTTATATGAATTTATACTAAAATAAATTAATTAAATTAAATATATAATATTAAAATATTATTTTATCAAAAATATCTAAAGTCACTAAATTGTTTTAAAACGTTTTCCTTTCTTTATTTTGGCAATAAAGAGGATTTTATGGGAATTTGAGAGAAATGAGAGGAGAGAGAAATTAGAAACCTAGGTTTGGAGGCTGTATAGTGATTTTCGTCAATTGAGCCAATTGGAACATTTACTCATCTTGCTATTAGGAACCTTTACTCTATTTTTTATTTCAAAGATGATGTGTTTTTAATATTTTTCTGATCAAATTTGTCTTTCTTTTATCAAAAATATACTTAATTTTGTATTGATAAAACTTTCACTGCATAACTTTTAGTATGATATAGAGATCATGATTATGAACATTTTGAGTATTCATTTGAGATTTTTTACCATGTGATTTTAAAAATACAGTGATTTTTGTCTATCCAAAAAATTATTTTGATGTCTAAAAATAGTAGTGTAGTACAATAGAAGTCTTAAAATATTATTTTATATAATCCCTGATAATTTTGTAGTTTTTTTTTAAATGTGCATTTTTATCTAATAGGGTTCTTTGTTGTCTATCATCGTGACATTTTGGCATCTCTTAATTAGGCTCAATTATGTATTATTTAGTGCAATGCATTAAAAATGAATGGGGATATGTGTTTGAGTAAAAGTTGATTGCTTTACTATTATAGTATTATGATAATAATATATGTGTGTGAAATAAATAAGTAAAGATTGGTTGACCCGTTGGTTAGAGATTGATTGACATGTATAGGATGGTGGGCCGATAAGCTTTTCTTTAAATATTGCGGTTTGGTGTTATCCTCTACTAATTCATGTGATTCACTGATTATAAGTTGTAAGGAGATTATTAATATACTGATGGACTAAGAGGGATGGCTCTATTTATTGAGCCAACGATTTACTAACACTGAAAAATACCATGATAGCCAGGACTTCTACTTATTTAGTCTGACTACTGAAATGCATGTTTTTTAGGCATTATTCTTATTATTATATGAATTTATTATTACTACACTGATTTACTATAATT